ATCTATCTAACAATACAAACAATATGTACAATACAAACAAAAGTAATAATGAAACAACACCATACATGAATATGGTAGGATTGTTAAGATATGTTGCAGACTGCACACAGTCAGACATATCCTATATTACTGGGCAATTAGCACACTACTTACAAAAGCCCCAAACACATCACTACAAAGCAGTGAAACATTGCTTTGTGTATTTAAAATATACAACGAATTGTTGGCTTCAACTTGGAAGCACAAACACCTTAAAACTATGAGGCTATTGTGATGCAGACAGACGAATGACAGAAGGACATAAAGCAATAAACAGCTACATCTTTCAATTAGCTAAATTGACCATATCTTGGTCAAGCAAACAGCAAAACCTGGTACCACTATCTGTTTACAAAGCAGAGTTGCAAGCACTAGCATATGCTACTCAAGAAGCCATTTGGCTCAAACAATTTGCTGAAGAAGTACTGCAGACTGAATCAGCACCCATTACAATTTATTGTGATAATCAAGGTGTAATAAAGACTGTAAAGTCTGACAAAATAACATACAATGCTTGTACTAAACATCTTGATTTATGAAAAGACTTTGTGTGATGTTACATTCAAAACAAATACATCAATGTATGCTATGTTCAATCACAGAACCAATTAGCAGACATCCTTACAAAGGCTCTCCATGTCCCACAGATCAAGCATCTAAACAAACTATTAGGCATATGGTCTTAGTTCTTAATTAATGCTTGAAGGGGAGTATTAGATTGTGCTCTGGATTAGGAAATCCCCAATTGCCTTATGTAGAATTACTGCACTTGGAATGTCTTGGATTATCAGACTTCACTATATAGTATATAAGGTAGATACTTGCTTGATGTCTCAATAAGAGAGAGTACTTGGGGCACTCCCACTATGCTTGTTAAAACAACTAGTCCTGTGTGGCTCCACATCTTCCAGCATTAGTTCCACCACATCAATGAGATGTAAGATAGGAACTGTTAAATGTGAACATGGAAAATACAGAATTAAGCAAAATGCTACAATACATAACTTGGCCACTACTCTATCCAGTTCTGCTACAACATAAGCATTTCCTCTTGTTCTTTACACCACTATGAACAGTCCAAGGTATCATGGTTTCATCTTTTGTCCTAAGTTGTTGCTCACTTTCGAATTGCAGATTAGCACTAGTACACCTGGAGCAAAGTTGTAGTCCTTGATCCAATTACAATTGACTTCTGTGAAATGCTTTGTGTATCTTTTGCAGGCTTTCTGTACACCTTCTATCATTTGTGTAAGGTTGTCTAGTCTCTTCTGCAATTGTTGCACTTGTATCACTATCAGTTCCTCTGTTGTTAGTGGTGATCCTTTGGGTGGAACCAAATACATTGCCTCATTCAGGTCAAACAGTAATATTGGCTCTACTCTATGAACAAGGTAATAAGGAGAATATCCAGTTGCTTTCTGAATTGTAATCTGCTCTGCCCAGAACACAGAATGTGTGTACTTATACCAATGTCCAATATTGTCTCCTACTGTCTTTACAATTGCTTCCTGTATGTCCAAGTGTTTCTGCTCAATAATTCCATTTGTGTAGGAGTTATACACAGAAATCCGAATATGATTAATGTGGTACTGTTCTTACAAATAGTCCAGCACTGTAATGTAAGGCATTCTGTTGTCTGTTACAAGCTTAGGACATGCCCTGTATCAGTATAGAAGTTCCTCAAAGATGAACTGTCCTATCATCCTTCTGTTCTCTGCATGAAGCATGTAAAACTCTGGATACCCTGATAACAAACAGTGTGTGTACACAATATATTAGAATCTTCCTGCTTTCAGCATAACCTTTGTATCTATGTGGATCTTTTGGAAAAGCAGTACAATCTCCAGAATACTTGGTGGAATCAGTACTTGTTACATCTGCCAAGTCTGACATGTATGACAAGTCCTAATAAAATACTTAATGTCTTCTGTAAGAGATGGCTACCAGAACCAATCTAGTAAACAGGCTTGTACTACAAAGATTCCCTTGTGTCCTAAGTCTTTGTGTGCTATCCTAACCAACACCCATCTCCTGTCCTTATCTGGCACAATCTAATACTTTCCTTCAGGACCTCAACACTAAATCTTGTTGTTCTGTACAAAGAACTGTGTAGTGTATTGTATAAACGTCAGAAAATCAGCATCTGCAATTCCACTTGGTTTGCAGAGTGAGCCAAGATACTCTTTCACAGCCTTCAGTCTTGCTTCTTACCTTTCAGCAGTTGGTGATTGTAGGAATCATTCTGCTGTTGTATCCAAACCCTCAGTCTTGTTACTGTAGATACTGTACACAACCCCTATCAGCTCTAGATCATCACCCTCTACTTTGTCATCCACTCCCTCTACCTCCTTGGTTCCCACAACTCTGTAAGACTCTCCTCCAGGTTCCTACTCCTGTAGTCCTTTGTCTGCTTCATCTTCTACTCTTCTACATTCCAGATTGGGTTGTTCCAGTTTATCTTAATGTATCCAATTCCAGTTCTGTTTTAGAATAATGACTTCTGGGAATAATCTATGTTGCAGTCTGCCAGAACACATTGCCTGTAGTGTGTCCTTGTTTACTTGAAATGATTTGTCAATAATGTTGTTGTGTGTCTCCCAGCACATTACATCTGAAACCTGGGACTGTGTTTCTACACACTCAACTAACAAAGCTTTGTGTTCTGTAGACCTGCAAATCTCTAGCTAATGTCTGTGTTGTGTAGATTCTATTTCTGCTGTGTAAAATCTGTATGACTCATCAATCCAGTCTTCATAGGTTTTGTTGTCTGGGGGGTCTTCAGGTACTGCTCAGTGTTACAATAATCTGTCTGTACACTTAAAGTCTGATGCAGGAATGTGGCAGAACTCAAAATCAAATAGCAAAATACTAGCTATCCAGCAATTGATTGTAGCATTAGGCTGTAGGTCAGGCTTATTGATCATTCCCTTTATGTATAAAGTGTCTATTTCTACAATTAATTTCTTGATGCTTATGAGATATATGTGTGATGTGTGAAGTGTGTGATAAAGTCTGAACAGCTCTATTTTTGCTTACAAATATTGTGCTTACATTACATTCCAGTTAATTGATCCGAATCAATTTATTCTCTGTTTGTAATCCAGGTGCTCCTGACTGATATACCATCCTACTCTAATGATAGACAAATCTACTACCAAAACTACTGGATACTCTGACTTGTAGTCAATTGGCATTAGTGTAGGGCAATGTAAAACTGCTTCCTTGAGTGTGTCCATAGATTTCTGTGCTTTGTCATTCCAATTGAATATCAAGTTCTTTTGTGTGAGTCAATTGAGTGGTTGTGCTAACTTTGTGTAATTCTGAATAAAAACACAAAGCACTCCTACTGTTCTGAGGAATCCCTGTACTTCTGTAACACTCTTACAAGGCAGCCAATCCCTAACCTTCTGTATTTGCAATTCTTCAGCCTCTCTCCCTAAATACATTAGCTTATGCCTAACAAATATTGTAGATTCATTACAAAGTGTTATCTTCTTTCCAGAAAACGTCCCTCCTACAGCTTTCACTCTCTGCAAAATCCAGTTTACATCCATCAGATGCTTGTAAACAAACTTCTGTACTCCCTTGTTCTTGGGAAGCATTTCCTCCATTCTGTCTGCTTTCTCATATCTCAAGCAGGGTCCAATTACTGGAACATTGTCTGTGTATAGGTTCATAACATCTGGAATCTTGTTGCAAAGAATAAACACTAAGTCATTATACAGAATCTGTACTGAGTTGGTGTAACCCATTAGCAATACTGTCAAGCAAAACGTTCCTAGAGGTGTCTGGAACAT